AGATTTGGCGGAAGTATCACTGAGAAATGGTTTGTATTAATGACAGCATCAATGATATGGCTGTAACAACAGTAATGGTAAAAATCAGAAGAAACATCAGTAACGTTTATCATTTATTACATTATTTCAGCTTAGATAACTTTTAATTTAGCGTTTAATCAAGTTTTTTAGTTTCTTTTTTCAAACAAATAATTTGTATTTTTAATTTTTATATACTTATTCTATCATTTGTGGTCGTCTTCGTTTCTTTTTTTTCTTTTTCTCACTTTTTTTGCCATTTAATTTCTATCTATTTAAACTGACTACGAGCAGAAGCAAAAGAAATGGTCTAATGAAAAGGCTTGATTTGGTGTTGGTTATTTTTTCATTTTTTTTTTGTTTCGTAATAAGCATTTTAGATGCCCATTGATTTGTTTTTTTGATTATCATTGGTGACATGAATCTTTTTATAGATGAAAAAATATTAAGAGTTGGTTTAAAGTGAGCAGATATATGTTGAAGTGAAATTAAAGTGGAAAATGACCAGGAAAAAGGTATAAAAGAATATATTTTAGTGCAATTTTTATAAAATTATATTCATTTCGTTAGTTGTATAGGTTTGTTTTTATTCGTAAAAGCAGCAACAGTATCAGCTGGTATCCATTTCGCCTATTTGCACCACCTACTCATCCTTATTAAAGTTCAGCTGGTTGCACTTACTGTCTGTCAGTTCGGTGATTATTACGGTGATCTGGTTGCGAGTACAGTAAGTTACATATATATATAACTATACATAAATTATTAAATATTTGGAATAAACTGTTTAAGTAAAGAGAAACCGGAAAGTTCAGATTGCTGAAATAGTGGTTTAAAATTGGAGCAGAAACAAGAATTGATCGCAATTAGGATATGTTGAAGGAATGGGAAGGAAGAAAGGAAGGAGAAAATAGTGATGGTGAAGTGGTAATAGACAGCCTGAAAAATGGAGATGGCAAGTATCTATCTGCTCTCAGTTGTTGTTTTAGCATTGTGTGCAAACTATGGCAGTATAATGGTGGCTAAGTGGAAACTAGCAAACAACAACGATGCCATTTCACAGTGACCATTCCGTCAATGTTTCCGCTTCAATTTTGATTGCATAATTTGTCATTTTTAACGATACAGCTACTTATTTTATCATCAAAAATAATAAGGATACTCTATTGATCCAAATAATTTTGCTGAATTTTTTTTTTTATTGCTTTCGTTCATTTTTTTTTCTCTTTTTTGCTCCATAACACAATTAGTTTTTCAGGGTTTCTCCCACAATTTCATTCTTTGTCCGTTCGATTTTTTTATGCTGAATTTTTTTTTTTGTAAAGTTAAGCATTTTTTTTTCTTGTTCTTAATGCATTTAACGTTTTAATTAAATACAGTTATTATATTTTAGCAACGTTGATCAATGCAGATAGATATACGGATAATCACTGAGAAAAACGAAAAGAAGGAGAAGTAAAAGGGATTGTTTTTAATCTTCTTTTCTTTTCACTAATCTTCTAGCAGAAATAGAAAAGACGAAAAAAGTGTGAAGTTTTGTGAACAAAAG